CTTTACATTATTTTTAATATAGAGTATTATTTGCAGCTGAGTCATGTGGTGTACAATGATTACATTTCCTTTCTTGTACATCTTTCTGTTTTTCCAGGATTTAATAATTGCCTATCTTTCTTCATCTCAATTTCATTCCCCAAATTCTCACATAAAACTCTTCTCGGCCGGGCACGGTGCCTCAAGCCTGTAATCCCAGCACTTTGGGAGGCCGAGACGGGCGGATCACGAGGTCAGGAGATCAAGACCATCCTGGCTAACACGGTGAACCCGTCTCTACTAAAAAAACAGATACCAAAAAACTAGCCCGGCGAGGTGGCGGCGCCTGTAGTCCCAGCTACTCAGGAGGCTGGAGGCAGGATAATGGGTAAACCCCGGGATGAGGAGCTTGCAGTGAGCCGAGATCCCGCCACTTGCACTCCAGCCTGGGTGATAGAGTAGACTCTGTCTCAAAAGAGAAAAAAAAAAGAAGAAAGAAAACTATTCTCAAATACAGTCAACACATCAGGAAACTATCAGCTCATTTTTTTTCATGACTACATGCGTCAGTGCAGTCCTCTGTCTCTTGTATTTTCATGTTTTACTTCTTTGTTTCTAAGATTTACTTCTTTCCCGGTATTCTCTACAGCCTCTTGATACAATTTTCCCCAATATTCAATATGTAGTCTGATGATCCATCGTTATTTTGTTTTCCTTCCCCATGGGGCCCCTCTACCGTCTCCCTGCTGCAGACTGATTGTTTTCATTCCTTGAGGCCTACAACAGCTGTTCCGAACTTCCCTTCCCCACATTACACCTGAATGTCCTCCTCCTGTGTTTGAATCCCGTATTTCCTGGATCCCAATCTTCCTCTTTCCCTGGTTTAATCATGTTTTGAGGCTCTTCTCCAATATTTTTCTGCAGAATGAATGCACAGGAGATAAGCATTTTGCGTATCTGAATTTGTCTACTTTCAGACTGGATGGATGGTTTTATCGTGTGTAAGAACAATCTAAGTTGAAACTACTCTCCTCGGTACAATCGAAGGTAGATTGTTCCATGGTCTTTTAATTCCTCAAGTTGTTATTGAAAAGTCCGAGAAGCGGGCCTCTTCACTCCTTTCTATGTATCTATTTTTCTTTTTGTGCTTCTCCTGGGACTTTAGGACTTTCCTTTTTTCCTTGTGGTTTTTGTTTGTTGTGGTTCTCTGGTGAGTCCACGACTAATTCACTCATATGCAAAAGTGAGAAACCAAAAGCTGACTGACAGTTCGGCATGTGGGCAGGGCCTTGTTGATTGTCAGGTCTTGCATTGCTACAGGATGATTAGGTGGGCGACCCACAATGTTTGTTGATGAGTCTTTCTGTCAGTATTCTTTTAGCCTTGTCAGTTTCTCCAAGCTAGGAAGGTGACTCTGTGTTCTTGTCCCATTAGGTATTCCTGATGATCGGTGCACTGTAAGGAGGGGAGCCTGCTCGGCTTGTGAACTTTTACTTAATACCACTCTTTAATACAGTGCTTCTGCTCTGCCCTCGTGCATACGTGAGTCCCCAATTCCCTGGCCTCTTCAGTCAGCCTCTGAAGAGAAGACATTCCCCCAGGTGCCCTGGCAGACGGGACAATCACGCTGGCTGTGGTAGAGGTGAGCGAAGGAGACTGTAGTAAGCCTAAGCGCATCTCATGCATTCTGTTGCTTATAGTACCCCACACCCTGAACCGTTTCCCAGCTCCACCTACTTTATGGCCTTGAGTATTACATAGTGGAACTCAATTTCTCCTCTGAACTTGGAAGATTTTTGAGGCCGTAGGATGTCCGGGGCCCTCCTGGCCCTTGTGATTCTAAGCTCTATGAACCCTTCAGCAAGGTGGAGAGCTCTGCCTAGGCAGTATACATAGACCAGGAAGATACAGGAGGTGAAGAAAGGGTGAGGTGAACAGTGGGGTAGAGGTGGCAGGAAACTTGAAAGAAAAAGGTGGACGAGAGTCTAGGACAAGAGCCAGTTGGAGGAATAGGGGAGGGAGCACCTCCCAGGTGTCCATACGAAGATGACCTGGGGCAGGATCACCACAGCATGTTGGGCGCTGGTAGGTAGGCAAAGGGTTCTAGAATAATTGAATTGGAAGTGTATAACTTCACCCAGAGTGTGGAGAGTTTGAAATTTCTTTTTTTATATCGTGGGGATTTCCATGATCAACGTCATCTATGAGATTTGTGTTTCAATGCCAGAAGACCCTACCCCAGACTTTAAATCAGAATATCAGAGAAGAAGCCCCAGGACGCTATATGCCTTTAAACTTTCTATGTGAGTCCAGTTAAAACTGGCAGGTTTTGGAACCACTTCCTCCAGGCAATGGAGAACAGCGCATGGATGAGTTTGTAATCAGGATGGCATGATAGAAGTGGAAATTCTAGAAAAGATGAATTTGACAGGCCCATATGCAAGTGGACTCGCCGAGGTTGAAGCGAATACTGAGAACAGGGTTCAACGGAGGACATTTCAATAGCTGTCCACAAAAGATGGTCATGAGAGTCTATAGCCAGGCAAGTGGTCAGGGCAAAGAAAGAAGACACTATGCCATCCATCTTGTCATGGATTGAGATTATGTATCCCCCAATTCATAGGTTTGAATTCCTAAACCCTTTAGTACCTCAGAAATATAACCTTAAATTGGGAAATAGAGTCCATTGCAGATGTAATTAGGTTTAGTTAGGATGAGGTCCATAGGATAGACCTCTAATCTAATAGAAGGGGGAGCTTGGACACACAGCCCCCATGGACAAAGGCATAGAGGGAAGATGATGGGCAAAGGAAGAGTAGGAGAAATCTGGCTTATTGATTCTACAAGCCAAGCAAAGAGACTGGCCACTGGAACCAGATCCCTTCCCTCAAAAGCCTAACAGGAAAGGCGAGCGGTCCTGTTGACACCTTGATCCTCTGCGTCTCTCCTGCCTCCAAAAACTGGTAAGTCAATAACTTCTAATCCACTCCAGTTTTTGTGGTACTTTGTTATGGCGCCATAGGAAACTGAATACACCTATCCTTTTTTTTGGAAACACATTCCTCCTTTCAATTACCTTCTTCTCACTGTCTCTTGAGGAATGATTTCCTCAAGAAGCCACCCTCCTGAGAGGGGCTTAGAAGCAGTGGTT